GAACTTCACGATGGAGTCACTTGGGTGGGTGGGGGTGCAGTCGTATATGAGTATACAATAGGGGACTCAACACACATCCCTGCGGGGAGCCAGTGTTAAGGCTGAGTGCTGGGGAAAGATGAGGCCCTACTTTAACTCTCTGTGGATGGTAGCTAAGGAAATCCTTAATCCAGAGACAAGTGAAGTATGGACCAAGATTGTTTAATTTTGTTACCAATCTGTTTGGGATGATCGTATTAAACGCCAAGCTAAAATCAATTAAACGAAGCCTGATATAACTGTCCTTCTGTGCCAGATGTTAGGGTTGTGTGGAGGGCTGAGGCTAAAGCATCCTCTGTTGATCTGTTTTTTCTGTATGCAAACTGGTGAGGGTCGATTATAGGTGAAAGTCCTTGAATGATGTGACTTCTGACCAGTTTCTCCAGTAACACTTCATGGCGACTGGAGTTAGAGCCACTGGCCGATAGTCATTTAAACTGTTAATAGTAGTCTTTTTTGGCATAGGGATGATGGTTGAAAATTTCAGGCAGGATGGAACCATGGTCTGTGCTAAGGACCGGTTGAATATTCTAGTAAAAAAGCTGGAAGCTGGTCAGCACAGTCCTTCAGCATCCTCCCAGTGATGCCGTCAGGTCCTGCTGCTTTTCTGGGGTTTACTGATCTTATCACTTGCCTCACGTCATGCACCGTCACTGAAAATATGTAACTGGTGTTAGCTGGTGGGTGTACTTTCTTCTGGCGTTTTTTTGTTCGAAGCGGGTGAAGAAGCAGTTCAACTCCTCTGCCAGCGCCACATCGCCATTCACAGCGTTGGATCTGGTTTTGTGGTTGGTGATGTGTTGGACCCCCAGCCACGCCTGCCTCGAATTGTTAATTGGAATTGGAAGTGGTCCTCAATTTTATATTTATACTCCGGCTTGTCGGTGGTGACAGTGTCTGTACAGTGCTCGATGTAGTAGAGTACAGATGTAGTGTACTCCTCCAGATCCTGGGATTCAGGCGACAGTGGAGGTTTCCACTGGAGCCCATCACTAGCAGTCAGCTCTGGGTCTGACTCGGGTAACGCTACCTTCCCTGAAGGGGGCAATGCAGCCGAATCATCATCCCCAGAGCCTAGGTCATCCCCTGATGCAGTGCTCAACATCCTGTCATCCACCGGAGCCCTGAATGAAATGCTGGGTCCCTCCTTAGAAGGACCAGCAGTCCCATCCTTTAACTCCACAGTTTGCAGTGTGCTGGAGGTGCGAGGGGCCCCCAGAGATGTGCTTGGTGGGGAAGCCCTCACTGTGACCCTCAGGCCATCCTGCCCACACACCGAAGTAGTACTCTTCCTTATGTATCCGTGATACAGGCGGGTGCGTGATGCAAATCTCGCACGACAATGGGCATTGACTTGTATTGTTACACTCGAAGGTTATAGGGCTCTCAGGCAAGATCCCACTTCATCAGTCGTTCTGACATAACGTCGAATCATCAGTCACGCGTGCACTCAGGGGGTCCCCGGTTCTTGTTAGAAATGGCAATGAAGTTCACTGGAGACATGATCTGAACTGATCATTTAAATCAATTGAGTAGTTGACTCGTGAACAGCTGCAATCGCAATCAGTCCAATTCGCGAATGAATCGTTTGGTGCGATTTGCGTCTCGGAGCATGTGATGATTGCCTGATTTAAAAATAAGGAGTAATGATATGTTTGTTGAAATGTAGTGAAGTAAAATGTAAAATCTTACGCTTTGGAATGTAGTGAAGTAAAAGTAAAAGCTACTCAAAATAAAACTACTTCAGTAAAATACAGATACTTGAAAAATGTACTTATGTACAGTAACGAATAGGGATGTAACAATGAGCCGCGAGCCGGTAGAAATTGATTAAAATATGTGAAGATTCAAATCGGTTGAGATGCCAAACAAATCGCGATACAGTTGGGGGTAGGAGTTTATATGAATGTATCTCTGAGGGGAACTGACTGTCTTTAGAAAAGTTTACGTGCTATTTTCTTTTCCTCTTGCCTGAACGATGCATATTAAAATAGGGTTCATAAGCGCAGCTAACCCAGGAAACACTTTATCATTGCAGTTCATATAATAAGCGCCACCTGCTGGCAGAGAGTTAAACTGCGTCTCTTTCGGCTTGTCTGCGGTTTCGTTCAGATGTTTTATGTAGTGTAGTTTCACAAAACTAAAGTCAGACTATTCTGTTTTTGCTGCAAAATTCGAAATTATACAGTCAAATTTAGATTAAAAACTGCTCATGTTGCATGTATGCTGCATCTTTGTTTGGATCATGATTAAAATGCAGTGGTTGCCTCTAATTTTAAATGGAACGAGCACAGACAAAGCCTTAGTTTATTTATATAAAGAGATTTCTTTTATTTGTGTAACTTATTTGATTTTTTCGGTTTGTTTTCAAATTTAAATTTAGTTTTGTTATATTTCAATTTCAAGAAACGTGCAGCAATAGCCTAATAAAAGGACACCTTCTAATTTACTGTATAATGTCTTCAATATCATTTTGTTAAAAAAATTGTGAGAAAATCGAATCGTGAGATCAAAATCGTGAATCGAATCGTGAGTTGAGTGAATCGTTACATCCCTAGTAACGAAGTAAAAATACTTAATTACTGTCCACCACTGGTATTCTGGTCCTGCAGCCCTCAGCACTATATGTGAATTAGAGAGTTGTTTTATTGTGTTTTTGTCATTTTGTTACTATTATCAATGAGTGATGGTGTGAATTCTCCTCCTTTGTGTAAATTATTTTATGGTAAGATTTGAGGGCATGGCCTTCTAGTCTATGTGTTTCTGATCTGTTTTTATGCGATGTGACTCAATAAAGGTAATTTTGTATGGTGCTCATGTCTCTGGTCCATACTAGTGCAACAAACTTGTGTGCCTTAATCTAGTTTCGATTATTCTCTATGTGATATATCAGAGTGGCGTAGTCGGGTTTCAATAAATTGGGCAATTATTGCATTTTTTGTAATAGTTGGACCCTAGTGGTCTATTTCTTTCTAGCCTGGCCACACTGAGTGAAATATTTTTTATCTTTTAATTCTATTCCAATTAAATTATGTATATTTTGTAACATATCTAAGAATTGTATTCTGTTTGTGTTTGACACTTTAATAATTTTGTACGAGTGAAGATTTTAATTCAAAATAACTTTCTAAGAGAGAATAACTTGATTGAGTGACATCAGAGGGGCCTAGCTTCAACAATCCTGTAGGCAGTTATTTAATGAACCTTGTGCGCTATCCTATATAATTCAAAAATAGGTAGGGGTGCTACACATAGTACTACAATAATTTTTATTTTCAGTATGTTAAATACTTTAAGAATATGATTGTATCTGATTGTTTCTCGCCAATTATTATTGTTATTAAAGTCTACTCATTGTTATCTTTGTTATTTTCAGACCACATCTAGACAAATGTCCACTGTCAGAGACTTTTGAACCAGAAATGCCCTATGGTTTAACAGTGCTGTCAATTATATATCATCTTTAAACATCAGTACATAGTTAAGGCCATCTAATATAAAGTGGGACCGATCACACCTCCACACCAGAAATATCAGATCCAGCCCTGGATGCCAGATCCTTTCAGAAAATATTTGTTTTTTTCTGGTAACAGATCAACTAGTCAGCAGAGCGGTCTAATACCCAAAACCCGTTAACAGCAAGTCTTGTCTGGTACCAAAACCAGTGATTTGTCTGGTACCCAAAACTGTATTGACAGTCTTCTATCAGCCAAGAAGTTGACTGAGTAAAGCCATAGAAGAGCAGAAGCAGGAGACAAAGTGATGATTAAAAAGGAGCAGAGTTTATTGGATAATCTTAGTTGCATATGTTTCAACACTCAATAGGTTTCAGAATTTGTCTCACCAGCACAAATCCAACAAAATACCACAAGCAATATCAATGGAACATTACTGCTTCACAACATTGTCCTGTAATGTTAGAAACTTTGAAATGGAGACATTCTCTTATCTCTTATTCATTAAGACATAAGACAATAACATAAAAAATAAATGACCAATCAACGAAAAAACTGCTCTCTAGATTTACTAAAGACACACACAGTGATAAATCAGCAATAAAGAGGCATAGACAGTTATTTTTGCAGCAGATTTTGTTGTGTATGCATTTGTAGAAGTTTCATTTTCAGACACTAAATGTATGGGAAGAGAGTATTTCAATGAATCATGCAATGTGACTTATTAAGGTTTATATTAGTCAATTTACTGGTATTTGTGCTATTATTTAAAGCCTAAAAAAGCATGTCTGAACCCATTTTGCGCCTGTGCTGTTAGTAGATTACATGCACCTGATTATCATTTGCGCTATTGGTGCCTTTATAGGATTGTGCGCTTGTACTAATTTGCTCTATTTAGTAAATCTGGCCCCAAGTCTATTCCTCAAGCATAATGAACTGTGTCAGATTATGTAAAAGATGTAAGTGACATAGAACCCCCAGTCCTGCACATTTTCCTTCATCTAAGGCTAGCCACACACTAGAGGATTTTAAGGCCGATTTTAAGCCCGATTTGCACCCCGGAATGATCAAGGTGTGTGGTCCGATTCGACTGATTTTGTCACATCTATTGTGTGGTGTCATTACGATTATTTAACTGCTCCCGATCGAGACGGAGTGTCGCCGAACTCAAATCGTAAATATCAAACATGTTTGATATTTACGAGTCTTGATCGGGCTGCCTCTGATGTGACACCCGCGATAGCCAATGAGAGCGAGCAAGCGGCACCCACCGGATGTTGCGTGCTTCTGTAGCTGAAACTTGGCAGCCACAAACATGCCACGAAAGCAGAGAACGTCACCCATCTCGCGAGTGTCCATGAGATCTCGTGTCACTGTGAAATCGTTCCTTCAATCATCAAGCAAGTGTGTGGTCTCGTGGTCTGGTCTAATCATAGTGTGTCATTATAAGGCTAAAAATCGGTTGGACTGTCTTCATATCATATATAATTATTTCTGCAGTAAAAATAGAGCAAAAGAAAAAAAAATCTAATACATTTTGCTCAAGAAAACATTAATAGAAAATCACAATAATCATAAGCATGATTCTTGATAAACACAAGCCTGAATCAAGTAAATCTATTATAGCCAGTTCTGGAGGTAGGAAAGAGAGTTTCTCTCATTGCAATAGGTGGTTCACTGGATTCCTAAATGAAACAAAGAACTCTTATTAGTTCCTTGATAACAAATAACTATTGTTAAGTGTAAAAGCTACTTAATTTTTAAAGGGATAGTTCACCCAAAAAATTCTGTCATTAATTACTCGCCCTCGTGTCGTTTCAAACCCTTAAGATCTTCGTTCATCTTTGGAACACAAATTAAGATATTTTTGATGAAATCTGAGATCTCTCTGACCCTCCATAAGTAAAGGAGTTTAAATAAAGTTAAATTCATGCATGAATTGGGAAAACACGCCATTGGTTGTTGCACTGCTTGCAATCTGGTTCATTAAATTAGGGGTGGTGCTATGTAATTGGCAGCAATCTCATGTCTTATTAACTAAGTTTGAATTGTTTTCAAGGGCAAAGCTGAACTTTTATACGACACACAAGTTTACTACTTCTGTCTGTCAGCTTCTAGTTCTGTTAAGCCCCGTTCAGACTACACGATTTGTTTTGTCGGTTACGACAGTCACTGTGTCAGATTATGTGATTTTGACTCATAAAATCTTGTCGTGAACAAGAAACATGTCAGACTATACAATGCTACCCGAGCATTCATCGCATGCCGTCATTAACGACGTGCGTGCTGTCACCGGATAAAACAGAAGGTTCTATGAGCGTAAACAAACAATGGCTAGCAAACAGCTTGTTTTGCCCTGTCTTGTCATCAGAAAAGCCCCAAAAATAAAGAAAACCTGACAATGGACACAAATTTGGATTGTATGAAGAGGATGGTATGGACTGCCAAAGAGAACTGAAGTAAAATAGTTTTTATTTAACCTTTTTTCACTGTGTCGCGGTAGTTCCTTATCATAAATGCAGGAGTATTGTTGCCGTAGCTCCACGAACATTTCCTACATTGTAAAATTACACCTAGCAAGACCAGTGTTGCCAACTTAGCAATTTTGTTGCTAAATTTAGCAACTTTTTTTAGACTACCCTACCACTACCCCTTTTTCTTCCAAAAGCACCTAGCAACAAATTTAGATATTTTTAAATTTTATTTGGCTACTTTTAGCAACTTTTGATTAGTGATTTAAACAATAAAAAGGCACACATTTTCCATCTAAATTTCACAAAAAGAGGAAACCAAAGATGCCTAGCAGTACACACATCACGTGAATTAAGTTACTGCTATTTGCAATTGTTCAATTTGATAATAATAATAATAATTTAATAATTGTTCATTTATGAGACACCTTGTTGGACCTATGATTGTTGATCAGTTAGTACACTGTAAGAAAAATATCTAGAAAAATGGAAAAGGTAGGCTTCTAGTAATTGTCCAGGACATCATCCGTTGTAACCCTTTAACCCAAAAACACAAAATACAATGCGTAATTTAAAATGCAGGTAAAAACCTGTGAATTCTTTTCTTAGAGTGTAGCATACTGACTACTAATACACTGCTTAAAACTAATTGTTCAGAATGTGTACTTTTACTAGTTCACAAGCTAACTTGTAATCGTTCAAAAATGTGTTAATGTTCAATAATTCAATGTTGTATATAAAAAGTTATTTATATTTTAACATTATATTATGCATTTATATTATTTTACGAACAAATCTAAATTAACATATACAAATATATTTTTTATTGAGATTTGATGTAGTGACATAATTTTGCGTCGTGATTACGTAATGACGTCATCATGCAATGACATCACGTCATTTAGCAACTTTTAGCAACAAATCAACCTTCCTTTAGCAACTTCCCCTGAAGACTAGTTGGCAACAGTGGGTGCTATGTAATCGGCAGTTCTGTTTGTCCCAGGTATGTGTTGTTAGCCGCTAGCATTATAAAACTGTACCTTTTCTTCTCAGTTCTCATCAAATCACATTAATGCAGTGAAACTGTAAACTCAAGTGACCAGTATTTTACATATTTTAGTATAAAAGAAAGACAGAACAGGAAAACGCAACTCTCGAATGATGCAACACATAGTTCAGCACGTGCGCTAATGCCAGCGGCTAACGATTTACACACAGAATACGACAACAACCGAATAAAACACATACCTGGAACAAACAGGACCACTGGTTGGTTAAATTGCAGCTCAATGATGATGCATGACAGTCTTAAATTAAATAAACGGAGTTTCAGTGTTAACAAGCAGGCTAATACACACACTCTTCGTTTTATCGTCACAAATAACACATTTGACTTGACTAAAGCCCCGTTCAGACTACACGATTTTAGCCCGATTTTGCCACGATCTGCTTGACGTAGGGTGTCGTGAGGGATTCATATACGACAATGGGCGTTGGGACGCACGATTCAATCGTTTCATCTCGTGTAGTGTGTCATAGTGCACGACACCTCTGCGATGCTTTATGACGTCAACACAGAAAGACAAGCATGTTTTAAAAAAAATTTCCGTCTTACACGACAAGTTCCATCACATCTGTGACACTGGCCAATAGGAGCACAGAATCGCCTTTGTGCAAGCTTTCAAACAAGCCGAAATGAAAGAGAGACAATGGTATCGGTCTTGCTCAGTGTTACCAACTAATTTTCAGGGGAAGTTGCAAAAGGAAGGTTGATTTGTTGCTAAATGACGTTGTGATGTCATTGCATGATGACATCATTATGTAATTACGACGCAAAATTGTGTCACTACATCAAATCTCAGCAAAAAATATAGGTTTCACTTTATTTTGATATGTTCATTTAGATTTGTTTGTAAAACAATATGACGTAAAATAATAATAAAATATAACTGTATTTTTAAATACAACATTGAATTATTGAACACTTACACATTTTTGAACAATTATAGTTTTAAGCAGTGTATTAGCAGTTAGTTAGTATGCTACACTCTAAGGGTGCTTTCACACTTCGTTCGATTGCTTGGTCTGAACCCGAGTTCGATTGCTCCCCCCTCCCCCTGCCCTCGCTGGACTGTGTTCACATTATATTATTTTGGTCCGAACCGCGGTTCGTTTACGTCATCAAGCCAGCAGCTGTTTACCCCATTGCTTAGTAATGAAGGCACAGGAGAAGACGGCAAAATGCGTAGCATTGCTCTCTTCAATTTTATATTTATGCTTTTGAACCGTTGGTTTTGTTTCCAAAGCTTCAGTACATAACGGCACTTACGCCTGCCTTACGAATGTACTGCAAATGCTCTAAAGAACTCTGAAGGTGAACAGAAATGAGATATACAGCTCTCTGCTTGCAGCGCGTCAGTCACGCTCGACAGTAAAGTGAGTGAAACACACACAAACATACATTTTTATCAAATAAAACGTCATTAATAGCGGTTCACTTCCGTGATTTGGTACGATTGCGTTCACATCAGCAGCGAACCGTACCAGAGTTCACTTGAACCGTACCCCAGACCACCCTTTTTAAGCGGACTAGGGTACGGTTCGCGGGTGTGGTCGGGCTACAATGGATAATAATGGATAACATATAATGTCCTGGAAAATTACTAGTACCTTTTCCATTTTTCTAGACATTTTTCTTACAGTGTCAACAATCGCAGGTACAAGCTACTAACAAGGTGTATCAATGAACAATTATTAAATTATTATTATTATCAAATTGAGCAATTGCTGTGATGTGTGTACTGCTAGGCATCTTTGGTTTTCTCATTTTGTTTAATTTAGATGGAAAATGTGTGCCTTTTTATTGTTGAGTCACTTAACAAAAGTTGCTAAAAGTTGGCAAATACATTTTAAAAATAGCTAAATTTTTTGCTAGGTGCTTTTGGAAGAAAAAGTTGCTAGGGTAGAGTGAAAAGTTGCTAAATTTAGCAACAAAATTGCTAAGTTGGCAACACTGGCTACAAGAATACTTTTTGTGCGCAAAGTAAAACAAAAATAACAATTTATTCAACAATTCTTCTCCCCGAGTTACCATCGTCCTCTGTTTTGGGGAGTACCACGACACATGTGCGCACTTAAACCCTGAGCGTTATCAACGTAATCAGCGTCGTTTACGGTAGATTACATACTATCCCCTGAGCGTAAACAACCCTGATTACGTTGACTGATAACTGTTTTACCGATGTCGTAACTATGTTTCTGGACCTGGGAACATTACAGTTGCGTTGCTGTCTATGCAGGGTCAGAGAGCTCTCACATTTAATCAAAAATATCTTAATTTGTGTTCAGAAGATGAACGGAGGTCTTGTGGGTTTGGAACGACATGAGGGTGAGTAATTAATGACAGAATTTTAATTTTTGGGTGAACTAAACCCTTTAATGGGGTCCTATTATGCTCTTTTACAAAGTCTTGATTTTGTTTTGGGGGTGTACTAGAACAGGCTTATTAGAACAACACATTATTTTTCACATATTTTACATTATTACAACACCTCTCTCCGCAGTCTGGTATGAACGGCTCAAATAGTTCCTGTATCAAATGAAGGAAATACGAAATGTGCTGTGATTGGTTAGCTGGGCCTGTGTGTGTTGTGATCGGTTAGCTGGGCCTGTGTGTGCTGTGATCGGTTAGCCGGGCCTGTGTGTGTTGTGATCGGTTAGCTTGGCCGGTGTGCGCTGTGATTGGTTAGCTGGGCCAGTGTGTGTGTTGTGATTGGTTAGCTGGGCCGGTGTGTGCTGTGATCGGTTAGCTGGGCCAGTGTGTGTTGTGATCGGTTAGCTGGGCCGGTGTGTGCTGTGATCGGTTAGCTGGGCCAGTGTGTGTTGTGATCGGTTAGCTGGGCCGGTGTGTGCTGTGATCGGTTAGCTGGGCCAGTGTGTGTTGTGATCGGTTAGCTGGGCCGGTGTGTGCTGTGATCGGTTAGCTGGGCCAGTGTGTGTTGTGATCGGTTAGCTGGGCCGGTGTGTGCTGTGATCGGTTAGCTGGGCCAGTGTGTGTTGTGATCGGTTAGCTGGGCCGGTGTGTGCTGTGATCGGTTAGCTGGGCCAGTGTGTGTTGTGATCGGTTAGCTGGGCCGGTGTGTGCTGTGATCGGTTAGCTGGGCCAGTGTGTGTTGTGATCGGTTAGCTGGGCCGGTGTGTGCTGTGATCGGTTAGCTGGGCCAGTGTGTGTTGTGATCGGTTAGCTGGGCCGGTGTGTGCTGTGATCGGTTAGCTGGGCCAGTGTGTGTTGTGATCGGTTAGCTGGGCCGGTGTGTGCTGTGATCGGTTAGCTGGGCCAGTGTGTGTTGTGATCGGTTAGCTGGGCCGGTGTGTGCTGTGATCGGTTAGCTGGGCCAGTGTGTGTTGTGATCGGTTAGCTGGGCCGGTGTGTGCTGTGATCGGTTAGCTGGGCCAGTGTGTGTTGTGATCGGTTAGCTGGGCCGGTGTGTGCTGTGATCGGTTAGCTGGGCCAGTGTGTGTTGTGATCGGTTAGCTGGGCCGGTGTGTGCTGTGATCGGTTAGCCGGGCCGGTGTGCGCTGTGATCGGTTCGCTTGGCCAGTGTGTGTTGTGACTGGCAGCATTCGGCGTCTGGTCGGGAAATGTCACGCCCCTTACCATAGCCACCTGCTGCCAGCCTCAGTGTAAATATTGCATTAATATCAAATCAATTTGAGCGTGATTTAAACCCGGATGATTGTAACCACTCTAAGTTCGTCTGCCTTGGGAAAGCTAGCATGTCCCTGACATAGTGATAACACTCGTTGCTAGGTTGGCCATATGCACCGTTCATACGGGACACGTCCCGGCCAGGATTTTAATATTGCCTAAAATATCCAGGTTTTGGCTGTTTGCACTGTGCAGGTCGATCTGAATACAGCTTATGTAGGAATGCTGCGATAGGTGTCGTATTCCTATAGGTAGATGTGATCAGCTGAGAATCAGCTGATGCAAGCTTGACTCACGTGACCTGCCAGAACTAACGCTAAAGCTTAATTTGAAAAAGTGAAAAAGCATAATAGGACCCCTTTAATGCTCCGTAACAAATAATCAGCTAGAATAACTCATTTTAATTCTGTATTTGTAAATTGAGTGAGAAAATAAATACTCACAAGTTCATGTTCATCAAGATATGTAAATTTCTTCTTTGTGTAAGCTTTCGCAGTAAAGCGAACAAAGAAGTCACAAATGTAATCCGCCTTCAGTGCCACACAAAGATCATTTGAAAAAAAGATTAGCATTAGTTGTGTAGACCTTAATTATTCTATTTCTGTCCTTAGAAAATGTACTTACCACTCTTAGAAATGACAAGAGTGCACCCACGCTGAGAATTGTTTTTATATGGCTGTATTTTGTTGCCTGTAAAAAAAATAAATAAATATATATATATATACACACACACACACACGTTGGGTTTCCATGTTTTATGCGGTCATTCCATAGCCCTAATAGGCATTTTTACATTCTCAAAAAAACTTCATTCTGTACGATATATAAGCTTGTTTCCAAATGGGGACCAAACAATTTCCCCACAAGGACAAGGATTTCAGATATTACCATCTTTGTTTTGTCCCCATAACGTAGGGTTTATCAGGACCACACACACACACACAGCACCCCCAACCGAAAACATCAAACACTCGGAAAACTCACCTCACCATAAACAAGAATGTCAAAGCGAATACCATATCCCTTTATCAGGGTCCTGCTGTCTTTGCCATCACTGTTCTTGTAATACTTAGCAAACCTGTAAAGATTTCACAAAACCGCACATTTATTTTCAACATGTGTTGACTTCTTCTGAGGAATCATCTTTACCAGTTACAGTACAAACACCTATTACCGTAAGTTGTGCACTGGGGTTTCACTGCTTTTTGGGTCCTTTTTGTCTAGTCTGCGGAAGGAATACTGGGGAACACACAAGTCCTTATCCAGGTCACAATCCCACTGGATTTGCACTGCCATTACTCCCCCCTGAGCAAAGAAAACATGCAAAGATGTCAGTCAGTCCTACAGCAAAGAAATACATGCATTTATCAACATGCAGTATCATAAGAGGATTAATGATTATCCATGATAAAATCAATGTAAAAAAAATAAATAATTAAGTTTCTGACATAGACTGCTACGGTCTGAAAATCCTCTTGTGTCTCTTCAAAAATATCTTTGATTCTGAAAATTGGGCAGTTAGGGTTCGTATTTCTGTTGAACACACAAGTTGCCAAGTAGGAGCTGCTCATGTTAGGTAGGATATTCCTTCTGCAAGAAATTAAGAAATAAGGAGAACTGTATTACCTCAGTTTATTAAGTAAAATTAACGAGTTTGATTTTTAGCACATCTGTTGCACATGGTGTGTAATTACAATACAGAAAAAATGGTTGTGCAATATGTGTTAGATAAAGATGATCTCTTAAGAACATACTTGTTGAATTCAAATTTGGCGAATTGAATATTATTCTTTATGAATATGGTGAAGTTTTCAGCATCTGCCAGGAGTGCTGGACTGAGATATCAAGGCAAAAACACAAATATTATGAGTAACTTTAGCGCTGAAATTAAGAAACGTGTATCAAAATGTTTTTTGTTAAGTTTAAGTTGGGGAGTGGTGGGAGTTTTACTTTGGAGGATCATCTTTCTTCTCCATTGGACACCAGCCCAACACCTCACATGTCTTCACGGAGTCCGAGTAATGGACACATCTACCTGTCTGAACACCTAAAAACAGAGGCAGTTCTAAATAGTCAGCACTACATAGATTTCAAGTCACATTTTTTTTTTTTTTATTCATTGTACAAATTGAGCCATACCATTCCCTTGAGCATCCTTAAAGCCTTTGGTGCAGTTCATGTCAGATGTGCAAATGGATTTCCGGGTTGGATACTAAGTGAAATTAAAAACAATTCCAAGTAATATGATATAAAAATTATCAAATGTAAAACTAAGTCAAAGCCAATACTAAATCCTGACAGCAGTTTATAGTGCCAAAAAAGGGTTTGTGCTGGTGCAAGCTGTTAGTATATCTGGCCCTATATCTGAATTTATATAGACCTTCTATCCTGTGTGAAGAGAAAGTAAAATCTTCTAGAGATGCCAAATTAAGCAGTATCACACAGTATCTCTTAAGGTCCAAAATGCAAATCTTGCAGGTTTATTTTGTTTAAAAGTTTAATTATAAAATGTACATCATTTCATTACTAAGAATTTGAGACAATAAAGTGTCATTTTAGTTGTGTTTTTGTGCCTGTGTCTAATTGGAAGCTCAGAAAAGAGTAGTGATGAAAAAAGAGCACATTCTCCTTTATGTCTCACCTCTGCACATTTTGACTGTGTTTGGTTTGGTGTGATGATCATGTTGGTCATCAGAAAGAAAGAATCGTCCTCCTGCATCATGCAAAAACATGTAACTGTGATCAGTGAAACCTGAAATGCTTCCTCATGATTTTTAAAGCCATGATGATAGTGTAGTGAATTTGCTTTCGCCAACCTAGAGAGGCAAAATAGTGTAGTGATGGGTACTCGCGTCACCAATGACGTTATGATTTTCCTGGATCACATGTCATGAGTGCATCACATAAGAAAGATTGGTGGGATTTAAAATCGTATTTTGGGGGTGGAGGGGTGGGTCCTTTAAATCATTGCAGGGGGTTTTAGGATGCTAACCCCCCCCCCAAGCCCCCTCTTGACGCTGGGCCTGCATCCTGTTACTGACCAGGCTCCACCCTGCTTTGTTTCAGTGGGCAACCAGTCTTGGGCTACAGGCAGATATGGCTGTGGCATAACTAAATGCATATGTAAATAGGTTGTTACTTTGTACAAAGCTGTCTTATGCTGATGTTGAATATGATTTCCAATGTCATTCCTTCCCTACATTACATCTCCAATACTTAATTTCAGCACTACTTAGTTAAAAAAAATTTTTTTTTTTAAAGAATACTGTGGGCTCAGGAGCTCCACACCAAGTCGCTAGATGGCACCACTAACCATAGGCTGAGGGTGAACCAACACATGTTAGCATAATCGATTATCTTTACACACATCATAAACATATCTTTTTAGGCAGGTTAGGTACAAGATATGGGTGTCATGTCATAAAATATTGTGTATTATGTGGTGTCCATTCGGAATTTGTGCTCTGCAGCAGGCACGTGCAGAGCGGGGTGCAGTGGGTGCTTGAGCACCTGCCCCTTTTCCCCTTGATGCCCAAAGTGCCCTTTTGTCAAGGCAATATTTTTTTTGTAATTAAACGCCGTTTTGTGAAGGCCTGCCCAATCTAACTATTAGTAAAACTAATGAATAATAATTTAGTTGTAAATAAAATTATCCACATGATGATGACCTTTCACCTGACGATCTCATCCGGGACGATCCCTCACGTGCAGACACCTTTAATTTAGGCACTACCAGGATGCCTTCATAATGTCCATGGCTAAGTAAGTGGAGTTCTCAGCAGAGCGGTGTGCTTGTTTACTTATATTATTAAATTATTAGTATTTTACAAGAACGACGTGAAGAGAGCATGCACAGCTGTTGTTTATATTGTTGCGTGTAGCCTGTGGAAGTAGCTGCAGCAAGGAGCTATAATATTTTTGTTCAATATTTTCCTAATGACAATTTTATGATTGGTTTATAAAGGCTACTACGAACACCTTTTCCCCATTTTTATCACAGAATAATGCAGGAAATATATTTTATAGTTTCTATAGTAAATAATATGTCAATCAGTACTGCATTATTCATATAGTTTATTTATTACCTGGAGATAACTTGAAAAACACAAACTGTATATTTTTGCAATCTTGTGTTTATAGTCCACATTTTTTTCTGCTTTTTATTCAGCTCAGCTACAGCATAACCTTTGTCCATATTAGGGTTTCCTGCACGTCATAAGTCATTCCTTCTATGAGTCTGTTTTGGACTTTCTGCTCGAGAGCGCCCTCCGGCTTTGAGTATGAATTAAACATACACTGCATCCAGATATTCATATTCTCCTCATTTTGGATACGAATAAAAGGTCAGGTCATGCATAGACTATCGATGCTGCCTCTTTGAATTTAAATCTAGAAACCTCTATGTGAACACACCGGCCCGAATAAAGTGCGGGGGACGAAATTACATTTCTTTAAAATTAAATATAAAAAATGCAGCTAGCGTTCTACACACAAACAAAGGTGCCTGTTCTTGCTGTTTGATTGGGAAATGTTTAAAGGGTGTCGAGGGGTCTTGTCTTTATGTTATCTGACTACAAACTATTACTTTGAACTTTTATTATTACAGTATTTATTTAAAAAACAGAGTGCCTTAAAAATAATTATCACAACACTGATAAAACAGGCTTATACTGATTTTCTCATCCTCCGATTTATAGGCTACTTATCAATCCCTTTTTATACTTTGAGCACCTGCCCCTCCAAAGGTCTTTGCACGGCCCTGGTCAAACCGTTTAGAAGATATATGCCAATACATTTTGTAGCCATAGCTCCATGCACTTATAACACTATAACCTCTAAACCGTTTAATGAATCAAAATTCTTTTGATAACTTTTTGTCATCAGGGTCTCTAGATGAAAATTTGGTGTTAATTGGACAAATGGGCTAGGACAAGTTTGAAAATGCAGGTTTATAAAGAAGCTCGAAATGGTGGAATAATTTTATGCATGGCAAAAATCGGTTTTGTTCAGCTTGAAGCAGAGAAGAAAGAATTTAGATTTTAACCTGTACAGTTGTAGAGATATGAGCAAAAAAGAAATGAGGGGACAAGTGCCCCCATCCCTCCCAACCTGATGATCTGCAGGTGTCAGTGAAGCCCAAAATACTAAGAGTAGACTGCGAAGCGATTGCTGGAATGAAGTTTGCATTGTTGACAGCTCACTGACAATTCCAGAGAAGCACAGAAAAAGAAAGAGGTGCAGATAGGATGCAGCAAGTTAGCGTTGCTGTCTGTGTATCACTTTAAATGCAAATGAGCTACATATTCCTGCCCCGTCTTCAGAAGAGAGAGTAGTGTATACATTTCTGCTTTGCATACCTACAGCAATAAACAGCTGGTAGAAGCAACATGACCGAGAGCGGGAAAACTGGTGTTCAGCTGTACATGTATGAACCAGAGTCAGACACAGAGGAAGGAGAGACTCCGGCAGAAGAAACACCTATGAGAATGAACCAGGATGTCTCGGAATGCTTATTTGATACATTTATGTACTTATTTGCAGTGACGGATGAGCAACACGTATACACACAAATACTTTCATAACATTCGCTATGCACTTCACAAATGCTCACAAATAGAGTTAAAACGTTAGCTAAGCACCAAGCCTACCTTGTATTGCTCCTTGTTCACAAAGCAGTCTGAAGTGAAATTATTTGTGCAGACATAAACGTATTTAGGTAGATTTTGAGGCACATAACCTTCAAAAAGCAAATTAATCCACTGCATCCTCAATGGCTCTGATGTTAATGACATTACATCCAAACACAGAACACTGGGATTGCTTTCGAGACATTGTTGACATTACAACTGCTCGAGTGGTCGAGCGCAGAGAAAAATGGAGAACAGCATACAACCAAAGAAAACTGGCTGAGGGCGGTAACTATGGCAATGCAGGACTGTCAGTCATCGGCCATGGGCAGGGCCTAAGCAGTGTGACGTCACACTGCCCAGAGAATCAAAATGGCATGTCTAATGAGACTGATTTGGATTAATGGGGATTAAAAAAATTAATATGGGGGGATATTTTATCATTGTAGAGTGGTTGTTTTCACACACTGCCAACACACATTTATGTTCAAACACCATGTAAAAGCGGATTTTGCAATAAATACATAACTTATCGACTCTTGAGGGAAAACAGGTTTGGACACCAAAAGCCTATAGCAGGCAAATGGCTCAAATCGAAACTACTGTGGGACAGTGCTGTAAACAAGCAATACAAATATCAAAAGCAGCTTCTTAGCCGACAGCTATTATTCTAATTTCAAATAAGTAGAATCAAAATACAAATGATAACGAATAAAAATAAGATTGCAATAGATCGTAAATGAAACAATCCTTCAGGCAGCAAATAAAAATCTAAACAACAAAAATAGAAAGAGGTATGCTGACTAATCACTTCTCCTAAGTTTGGAGAGTGGTCAAGCATTTTAAACAGCCTTACGGTCGCTGTGCAAGCCTTCACAATTAGCACACCAAAAGCCTATAAAATGAAAAGCCTATAGTGAATGGCTCAAATCGAAACTTCTGCTGGACCGTTTGCCATTTAAGTGCATTAAACGAGCATGTGGCGTGGGGGGCGTGGTTCAGCGAGGTCTACAGCAGCAGATAGTTACGCCTGTTTCACCCCTCACCCCTTATTTACACTGCACACGTCTGCGGTGCGTTACGGCTCCGACGCGGCTACCGGAATGCTTGTGTTTACACCAGATCGTATTTCACGGTCATATATCCTTGGCAGGAGGCCTGAAATGGACGATGAGCTGTTCATCCTTCATCCAATACAAAAACACATGTTATATGACATCACAAATCCTTTTTACAAGGACAATGCGCAACCACACAACATCTGACAGGCAAATCACGTGGTCTCGCGAATCCTACCGCTGCGCTTCTGATCCGCTTCTGGTGTGAGTTGGCACCGCATGGAGGACGTAACAAAACCTCTTCGGAGCCGTAACGCGCCGCAGACGTGTGCAGTGTCAATAAGGGGTCACACATACTCCGTCTGCAGTGCGTGTGCATTGCGGGGTTTTTTTACGCACCCATGTTAAAGGATTAGAGCTTTCACACTGCACGCGGTTGCGATCCGGCAGTGCGCTACAGGAGCGGCGCGTCTGCAGCAGTGCAGCGATCGTTTACGCACCGAGTCTATTTTTGCTGTGCTGCACGCGCTGAATTAAAGTGACAGCGCTTTGTTCGCGGTAAAAATGAACATGGATTGAGACTGAAATGTAGTAATTTCACAATAAACAGATATAATTAAAGTCTACTGTGTTTCACGGGCTTTTTGGCTAGGTTTAAAACAAATAAAAGTGCACTTTTAGATATAAAAGGCAACATATACACGTGTGTCTTGTGGAGGTAGAAAAAGACCCGCTGGACTGTTTGTAATAAAGTTTTAAATGTAAAAGGCACGAGAGCCGACTGTTTCTGTCAGTGGTAAGTTTTAATTTAAAATATTTGTGATAACCTAACACAAGAAAGCTATATGCTGTATTTAAATGTGTTTCCACTTGCTTGAGCAACTTAATATACACATCTAAAAGTCAAATGCATTTAATACGCTGCTATTAATTGAGTTTAAACGTGAATATATCTATGAAAGATTGTGTTAACTGTACTGTGATAAAAGAGGATCACAATACTGAAAAAGCACTTTCAGTATAGGCTA